TCACAAATTTCAGTGGTGAAAGTGGTGGTACTTGAAAAGATGAACAAAATGGCAGCCATGATTGTCTATGTCCAAAGGAGGAAGAGGAGGAGGAGGGAAGAAGGAAAAGAATACACAGAGGAGAATGAGAAGAAACAGTCATTGTCATTGATAGCAAGATCTGAGTGTCTAAATAGGACACTCAGGTCAAAGGAACTAGAATCTCATCCTGTCTCTTAATCTTTTGCTCTTATTCAGTAGCTAATTCTGAGATTCTGGGACACCACAGAAAAGGCCCTACCCCAGGGATGGCAACAGCCTTACAGCTGTCCATGGAAGACCAAACAGAAAAGAAAGGTTTCTGATGTGAAAGTTAAATTGGGCCTTTAAAAAAAAAAAGAAGAAGAATGACTTTCAAGTTTGGCAGAAGGCTGTGGTGTTTCAATGCCCAGGTTCAAATGCAGTTCACACAATGTAAGAGATAAAGCAAGTTCTGTGCCTACACAGTTTGCATAAGATTCTACCCAGAGCTCAAAGTTGCGTCAAAAAACATCAAAGGGAGAAAGGAAGTGTTTTAAAGTTTGTTCAGTCATTCCTTTACAGCGAATGTGGCTCTTAAATGGAAGATTTCAGGCGAACTATCATTCCTGCTGGAAAAACAATGAAACTCCCTCCTGCCAAGAGAACTAAGTGGAAGAGTCAAAGAATGGATCACTCATCCTTTATAATCTCCTCATTATGGCTTCCTTGTCATCCTAAATTATAGGTCTGTGAAGGTACCTGGCTTAATTGTCTTCTAAGTCACTGTCATATCTTCCTCTTTGCTAAATGCCACAGTGCAGAAATGAAGGCTATCTCAGTTATTCCTTTGCTACTTGGTTGCATCATCAGCCAGAAACATTTTAATTAATTTGCAAAAAGGCCTTGAATCTTCTACCCCTTATATTTATAAGACTGAATTCCTATAAAAATGTATAGAATCTCTCTCTCTTTCTTTCTTTCTTTCTTTCTTTCTTTCTTTCTTTCTTTCTTTCTTTCTTTCTTTCTTTCTTTCTCTCT